AGTCCAATTAGAGTCAATCATCCTTCCAATTAATAATCAAAATTACTCACATTATTCCGGTTAACAATCTATAAGACTTGATTAGCTTAGAATCTGTTAAAGCAAGCACTAGCAATTAATTAATTATCAATATTGTTTCAATGTTCAATTAATATTTTTATATATTGAATTTCAATTTTGTCTTCCTTTAAGATTTCATATTACACATTGATGTACACTTTAATTCATATTTATTTAAAATATGTGCTTCGAAAATTGTGAAATTGTATTACTATTTTTTGTATTTTTATAGTTTACTAAAAATAAAATAGTGTCTTGTATAAAAATGATGTAATATATACATCAGACACTCGATGTAACTGCATACTTCGCGTTAATATAAATGTAATTAAATAAAAGATTTATGTACTCTATCGATCAAACATAGATTTGATCTCGTTATGGTTATTGTTATGGCGATATACATAATTGCGTATGCATTTTGTAATACGATGCAAGGTGCAATATTGTTTATTTTTTTCCTTTGAAAACGGTGTTTATTAATTTTTAAATATTGTGATGTATTCACAATTATTTAAGTTTTTTCATAATGTGTCTTGAATAATTTCCTATGTGTATTTGTMAYTGTATTAATCGATTRATAAWTTTGTATGAAATTGAAACATTTTTCTATTCATATATTTGTATATTAAAAAAAGCATGCATCAGAGACATGCATTTTTTCATATTCACTTGTATTTAAATATAGAAAAACACATTTTCTAATGCATCGAGAATTCGATATTTTTAAATGTCCACTTATTGGTCATTTAAATTCTTTTCTCTTTAAATTTCATTATTCATTAAATAATTTGAATTGAAAAGTTTTGGTCGCGAATTGCATACCGAGTTTCATTTTTCCACACATGCCCTTTTAATCTAGTTTTTTGTTACAGAAGGTACTGTTCTTTCAAGCTCTAAGATTTAATTGTATCAATGGATATTTACAACAATGTTAGTCAACAAAATTGAAGATAAAAGAATGATGGGAATGGATAAAAATACATTTTTTTTTTTATGAAGAACTGGAACGAAGAATTGATATAAAAAAAAAATAAGAAACCGAAGTTTCCGTATTTTTTTTTTTCTTTTTTGTATTCGTTACAAATATTTTTCTGATTGATTTAAAAAATAAATGTTTGTTTCGGGATCATCGATATGTTGGCAAGATTCGATTCGACTATTTCCAGTCTGTGTTCCTCGTAGTAGTTGTGGTGTTGGTTTTTAGTATCTAAATGTATGAATGTACTTGTGTGTGTGAGTAAGTTCATAGTATTTGTTTTATATATCAATTATCCATTTATTTTCAAGCCATTTTTATTTGGCTTTCATCGGTGGCTGTTGATTTTTTCACTATTTCTTGTTTAATTATAAATCTTTTTAGGTCGTTTCTCTGTTAACAGGTAGCAATATTGTTAATAGCATCTGAAGAGGATTTTAGTCGTAATTAGAATAATATAATAGATGATAAGATAAAAAATAAAATGAATAATGCGACAAGAATTTTTTTAATTATTTTAATCTTACAAAAGAGAGATATTAAAATGCAGGTTTAATAATAATAATAAGATAATTATTCTACGGTAAATTAAAATATTTTTATCAGGTTTTAAAATAATATGAGAGAAATATTTTTTTTTTATAACATTGTGCGAATTCTTATTATTATTAAAATAGTACCCGATGCACACGTCAGTGCATATCAATGCGTGCGTGTTCGTATTGTAACAACTTGCGTGTTCGTATTGTAACAACTTGCGTGTTTAATTGTAAATTTCAGTCTAATGTAAATCAAAACCTTTACATACTTGCATTTGTTGAGTCAGAACTATATGTTTTGTAATATTTATAATTCAATCAAATATCTACGTCGAAGCGTTTGAATGTTTGCATTAATTTTAGAATGTTAATCGGGTAGGCAGGTCGATTTAAAACGATGTTCATGATTTTTCATCGAACTTTAATAATAAGTAGGATGAAAAAATGTGTGGCTCGTTTTTCGTGTTGAATATTTGTAAAAATATTATTTTTAATAAATGATTATTATGAAATATGAATTAATTATAAAAATAAATGTAGAAGTAGAGTCTTAGCCCGGGGGTCTCCGAACACAGCAACCTCCTCGCGGTGAGACCTGGGTCGGTATTACTTGCGATATATACAAATCTAATTGTAAATTATGTAACGTAAGTACTGCCGGGCGAATGGCTGTGCTATTGGGTTGGTAACTAAGTGAGTAGTACGGTTATTTTAATAATATAATCTATCAACAAAAACCTAATATATTTAATATATATTTTAATATGCATATGCATTTCTATTAGGCTTATTAAAATCTAATACATTTAATATATATTTTAATATGCATATGCATTTCTATTAGGCTTATTAAAATCTAATACATTTAATATATATTTTAATATGCATATGCATTTCTATTAGGCTTATTAAAATCTAATACATTTAATATATATTTTAATATGCATATATTGCATTTCTCTATTAGGCTTATCAAAAATTCAATATTACATTTGATAATTATTATTTTAATAATAATCTATCGACAAAATCCGCAATCACTTACTACCAATCCAATAGATTCAATTTAAATTTATTAACATGTTTAATTATTATTCACTTTTTTTTTGTCCTTCTGACACATTGTTCTTTTTGGTTTTTGATAATAATTACACGAAACATTTAGATTTATCAAATAATTTATTAAAAAATAAAATGTATGTGTATATACATACAAAATAATATCTAAAGTTTGTTATATATATGTGCAGATACTTTTAACTCTTTACATTCTTATGCTCGACGTATTCTTGATTCTTAGGAATAGTATGATGTCTTAATAATGTTTTAATATATGTATATGCATTGTAATTATTTTATCAAAAAATTTGAGACACGTTTAACAAAAAATTTTAATCTAAAAATCGATATAAACAAAAATATATTTATTGATTATTTTAATTTCTTAGCAATCTAATACATTTAATATATATTTTAATATGCATATACATATCTATTAGGCTTATCAAAAATTCAAGATAACATTTGATAATTATTTCTAAAATAATTTCAATCAAAAGATGAATAAACAAACAGAAATAAATAAAAGCCTATCTATACAAATACAAAACTATAACATTAGTAAAAAATTAGCATTCAATACATTATCATTCTATGTTATTTTTATTCGTAGAAGTTAATTTTATAACATACGTATTTACTTTTTATTTTTACACTTATAAGAAATCCATAAGGTAAAGCCATAAGTAAATACCATAAGGGAAAAGATGTACTTATTAGAGTAAAAATTATATAAGGAGAAGTAAACATGGGAGCTTTGTATATATACCATAATTGCAATGCTGTGCAAGAACCAAAACATCTCAACGTGTCCAAAACAAAAATTTAAATATTATATTTAAAATCTTCTAAATTGTTTTTTAAATCTCTCATAATGATAATCGTCAGTTGCTTTTTCACCATTATCTTTTCGCTTTCCTTTAAAATCTTCTTTAGGAGTTATAATTTTTTTTCTATCCTCATCATTATCTTGTTTTGATTTTTGGAAATCTGATTCTTCGATATTAACTGAAAGATAATAAATAATAGAGTATACATATATTATTTGTCAAATTAAATGTGTATTAATTATAATATGTTACCTGCTTATGCAGAACTTACATCTGTTATGTTGTACAAAATTTACAGCCATGTTAGTTGGTACAAATTGTGATGGACCATCTTTTTTCCTATGCCTATCCCAAAGTAATTTCAATTTTGCTTCTTCTGTAGCTTCAATGTTACGAATTTTTGCTCTTAAATATTACAAATAAATTATATATTAAAAATTAAATAATTCATATATATATATTATTAATTATAAAATAATAGCTTACTCTATTCCAAGATCTACTTCTGGAATTCCAGAAAGCATTTGATTTGAAAGCATTTCTTCACTACGATGAGCTGAACTTTGTCTAAGATGTTCTGGTACAGCTTGTAATGCAGCTTCTTCTGGTGAACAATATGATCCTTTATCATTGCTTGTATTAGAATCTGTGTCATCTTTATTTTTACTTTTACGTTTCGATAATTGTTCCTCTATATATTTTACCCTAATAAATACATTTACAAATAAACATTAATTACATTATTATTCAATATTTATAGGAATAATAAAATATATATAAAAGAAATATTTACATTTCTTCATCTTCGTCTCTTTTATTAGTTTCAGCATTAAATTGTGTACCAATACCAGTTTCATATGCATCATTTGCTTTGAGTTTTGTGTTTTTTAAAGCAGACATATTTACCATTCCTCCGGTTTTAACGTTAAATGGATCTGACTGAAAATTAAGAAAATTGTTTATAGGGTAACATTCATTCTATATATACTTTAAATTAAATTAATATATAATTTTAAAGCTTACGTTTATTATATCAGTTTCTACTTTTTCACCTAATGCTAATCCAACAATATTTACACCACTTGGTCTTTCCCTTAACTTTTGAATAATTTTAGTTTCTTCTACTTTTTTCCTAAAAAATAAGTGTATGCTGTTTTATTCACATATTTTTGTAAAAATATTACTTATATTTGATTTATAACATTAATATTTACAACTAACCTGACAGAACTTTCCTGATTGTCATTAGATTCATCATCTGTAGATGATTGTCGTTTTCTTATAGATTTACGTATTTTTTTCTTAAATTCTATTTTTGTCTTAATTTCGTCTGTTTCAGACATGATTCTTAATTTTGTATAATACTGATACTTGTATATTTTATACCAAATTCATAATTGTGATGAATTTGAATAAATCTGATAATATAGGTTAGGTTAAGCTATGTAGTAACTTAATTAAAGAATTTTAAATGTTTTTAAATAATAATTTTATGTAAGTATATACATATACATATATATGTATAGACACATTAAATAAATAATAGATTTTTATTAGATTAAATAATTGAATACTACACTAATAGTTATTGTGATATCAATGCTTTGATTTATTTCTAGTAGAGTGTCGATAAAATAGAGTATCACATAAAAATAATAAATGTTTAATAGATTAATTATAGTATACAAATCAAATTAATTAATATAAAATTTGTATGTTTTCTTTATATAATCTTTTAAATCACAAATCTCCAATTAAATTGATTAGATTTTCTTAATTATTTTTTAACATATTATTATATTGATCTTTTTATCTATTGGTAAAAACAAACAGAAGTTAAAAATGTATTAAAAATTTATTGAAAAAAATAGAAAGAGACAGACAAAAATGAATGATAATTTATTATTGCAAAGAATATATCTCAGATAATCAATAATAAAATATTAATAATATTATATAATTTATCGTTATAGTAAAGTGTTGGGAAGAGAAATCACTTTTAAATAGACACAGATTTATAATTCAAAACAATTCTTTATCTTCTTTGATACATCAAAGAAGATTGATTATTAATGATTCATCAGTAAGATTACAAACAAAATATAATTAGCCTGGAATTAAAGTGTACAAAAATTGATAATAGGATAAAGTATTATAATTACAACAATTTTTTGCGTTATAATACACCTAACGACTAAAGCAACTGGCACGTCATTGAATATTAGAAAATAAAAATAAAAAAGAAACTGAAAGACTGAAAAAGAGAAATCTAGAAAGTGCCGTATTGCAATTTAATTTATCATAAATTAACATTTATTCATCTCAGCTCAGCTATCTCAGCGTCAATAATACGAACTTGATGTTCTATATACAATCTACCATCTGCGCTTCTCTTTTTTCAAATAATAACGATAAATATATTAATAATGTTTCGAATTTTGTTTTTCGAAATATTTGTTTCCTCCGTTTTTTTTTTTTTTTTTTTTTTTTTTGTTTTTTTTTTTTTTTTTTTCGTTTACTTTCACCTCATTGACATTTTTATAAGTGTGCTGAAAAATCGGTATAAATATAATCCTACGAAGGAGTAGTAATATCGCAATAGTCATCGTAACTTAGATCAAATTTGGAAGAACTGTATTCGCTTTACTTTTTATTCTATCCCTTATTTTTCTACTATTGCCAACGATTTTTAAGTTGGTATATTTTCTATATACAATTTTTAAAAGTTCAATTGGAAATAATAAAAAAAGAAAAAAAAAAAAAAAACAAATGCCAATAAATTGTACAAAGGGTTAAATATAAACTAATTAAAAATGTTTTTCTATATGATTTTTCTCAAAGCACCACTATCATCATCTGTGTTAACGATAGTTATCTGCGCGACTAAACAAATTAAATGTTACTTTTAAATCCTACATTATTATTTCATTCTTTGATCGTTATTATTTATTTTACTTTATATTAACAGTCAGAAACCTATTGTCTGCTGACATTTTATCATATTATAATATTAATTACTTATAGCTATAGATCATTACCATTGATATTATCAACGATAAGTTCTGAATAACTTTGCTCTTTCGTATAATGATGGTAGCTGCAACAGTCGATATATAATGATATTCTAATTTTATTATGATTCCTATTAATTTACTATACGATCGTTTTATATTAATAGCAACAAATTTAATATTCAATAATGACTTTTAAATATATCAATACTCTCGATTGTTTCAACGACCAACAAAAGGCCCGAAAGTAGCATCAAATTTACACAGCGGTCTTACAGATCTTCCAAAATTTTTCTAAGATGATAATTACTTTTTGTAATATTTTTACTAATCATCAGTAAAACCGCCAACCCCCATATCGAGTATGAGGAGATCCGGAGACACAACGTGTGGCGGCTTATATATCATTTTTTTTTTTTCTTTCTTTCTTTTTGTTTTTTTTATTTTTTTGATTGGTATCAACCTAAATCTAGTATTTGGACGAAGTGCGAGGATGGGTCGTGCGTGCTTTTTGCTTTCTAAATTGAGCGTGCAAATCGCTTAAAACCTTTTATCTTTCTTTTAGCCACAGATAGCTTATACTTTCTTGTTTCCTTGGCCAGTTTTACAATGTATAATTTATCATTGCTTGTTCTTTTCTTTTTTTTTTTTTTTTTTTTTAATTCAATACGTATATAAGTTCTTAAAAAAATTATCGCAGTTTGACGTGAAAAATGAAAAGGAAAATTTATGAGTAGCCCTGAGAGAGAGAAAGAAAAAGATAGAGAAAGATAGAGAGAGAAAGAAAGAAAGAAAGAAAGAAAGAAAGAGAGAGAGAGAGAGCGAACAACGCGCCTATGAATAGTGCATGGGTGGATAGTCATGGCATATATGCCAATAGTTTAACGCATCAATTGTATGAACGAGAACGAATGTCTTCACTGTAGGTGTGAACATTATTTGTCATTTGCCTTTCATTTACATTTAACCTCAAGTTTTAAGAGCAGTATGACGCGAGTCTGTGCACCCATGCCTCGAATTTGTATACAAGTGGCAACCTTCAACGCTGAATATTGACACTTCTGCAAAAAAAAACAGTAGAGTAATCAAATAAAATGAATATTTTCTATGAAAGGGTTATAAAACTAAAAGATTTTTTTTACCATCGGGCAATTCATATAATTTTCTAGGAAGAGAGGCAAAATAAGGATGTCTTAAAGCTTCTTCTGCACCTATACGCTGATCAGGATTTAATTGTAGGAGAGATGATGCCATATTATCACCGTCGGCAATATCATAAAGCCTTGGAAATGTAAGACCCAATTTTCTTGATGGATAAAACGACAATTGGTTTGGTTTATATCCTGGGAGATGAGTTACACCCGGCCAAGTTTCTTCAGTAGGTGTGCCCAATACTTTAAATATCTTATCAAGTTGGTCGTACGTACATCGTACACCAGGGAATGTTGGTTCTCCAGTCAACATCTCTACAAATATGCAACCTACGCCCCACATATCAAGTGAGGTTGAATATTCCGTAGAACCCAATAGAACATCGGGTGGCCTATACCATAATGTCACTACCTCATGCGAATATGTGTGGGATGGTACAGATTTCGCCCTTGCAAGGCCAAAATCTGCTAATTTAAGTTCTCCTATTTCACTGATTAACAAATTTTGAGGTTTCACATCTCTATGCAATACTCTCCTAAAAAATAATTAAATATATATTTATGTAAAGAGTGATTAAAAGTATATCTGTAAAGTATATAACATAATAAGAAATATATATAAATTGTTTTTACCTACGATGACAGTATGCAAGTCCTCTTAACAATTGAAAAAGAAATAATTTAACATTGCGAGGATCCAGACCTCCATTACCATATCTGTCCATGTATTGTGATAGATCAGTGTGAACATATTCAAAAACAAAAGTAAGAGTCTCGCGAGTGTGAATTATGTCGTGTAAAGTCACAATATTACTATGCTTTAATTCCTTAAGAAGGCTTGCCTCACGAATGGCAGTAAACGGAGCACCTTCTTCTTCTTGCAGTCTAATTTCTTTAAGAGCCACCACCTGATTCGTGAGGTGACTATAGCCTTTGAACACAGTGGCATAAGATCCTTCTCCTAACTGTTCTAATTTTATATAAGCTTCGGATTTTCCAAAAGGAGAGTCTCCCTGTTGATGAATAAATGAACATTTTATTAAATATATTTGCACACATAACCGTCGTATTAATGTATATTTATGTAATTAAATATTTATTAAAATATTCATTTACCCCAAATGCTGAAAACCTTTTGGTTCTCCGAGGTGGTGGATCTGGCCCAAGAAAAACTTCAGACTTGGGCCGCGGTGGACGCCGAGGCCGTAAAATCACTCTTGCCTCTTCTCTTATATCTTCATCTAAAAGCTTGGAATCGCTAGAAACGGAAAGCTGCCGATGCACTCTCTCGTGGTCACCAACACCTGTCCATTCTAAAACATTTAATTTCATTCTTAACATTTTTTAAAATAGCTTATATGATTTAATTGTCATCAGGAAAAAAGAAAAGTTACATTTTTAAAGATGATATTTATATAACATATAAGAATAATTATTAAAATCAATTACAAAGGAAGCATAAATAATAGTATATCAAAGGTGTTAAACGATATATATTTAAACCTCACCATATCGTCGATCTTTATCCGCAGGTATATTGCCGTTTGGTTCCAAACGGTCTAGGAACTCCTCCGAATAACCATTGTAAGGCAGCTGACCTCTATTTGCAGCATCGTCAGCTTCTTCTTTAGAAATAGCTAAAAAAGAAATGCAATGATATAACAAGTATTAATTAATATGAACTATTTTGAATAAGAAATTAAAGATTGCAATTCATCTGTTTTTATTCGTTTAATCAATATCAAGAAAAAGGAACTACATATCGCATGACAAATACGAGTACAGATTTATTAATCTTTACAAGTCTGTATAAACAGCAATAAACTTTGATAACAAAGCGTTACATAATTAAATGATATTTATAAGCTGTTACCAAGACTATAGTTTTGAATATTACTTTAATGTGATTAATTATAAATAGAGATTCTATGTGAATAATAAATATATTTCACGTATGAAGAAATTAATTACTGTAAAATATAATATTGATATATTATTAACAATTATAATAATAAGCATACTTACAAAGTCTACCGAAACTGTGACTAAGTCGTTTTTTTAATTTCTGCACTCTGCTAAGAGCACCTCCTTTTTTTTCTCGCATTGTCACTGACCCTGCATGTAATAAATACAACATATATAATCTTATACACGTTATTATAAGCTTGTTAAACCTAAAACTTATAATATTTATATAAATTAAATGTTATACATTTTTCATATATCATATACCATTGCATTTGTAAAAAAGAAAATAGTAAAAGTAAAAACATATAACTTCCTTAAGATTCCATGTATATTGTATAATTATATATGCAAATGCAAAAGCATTGTTTTCAAATGTATATGGGCATATGGCATATGAACATAGATGCATTTAACGACGATTGTATTTCAATAGAAACACTTAATTATTAAAACAAAAGAAGTTATTGTTGTAGTAGAAGAAAGTAGTTTTACTGTTAGGAAAGGTGCAAGAGCGAACTCATTGTCAGTCAGGTTCTTTTTACCATTATAATTCAATATAGTTGTTAATGAAGAATCATAATAAGATAAGATATGTATAAAAGAAAATGATAGAAGGATTAGAAAAATAGGAATGAAAATATGTGTGAATCATCTAAATAATAGTACTGTTCTATACAAGTTTACATTAATCATTGTTAATAATCCATACCTATGCCAGTAATCTTGTACTTCTTGAAACTTTTGAAACCACGCATATTTTAACAATAGCAATAACAATTGTGATCAACAAATAAGTATAATTAATCGAAGATTATTTTAACACAAAATAATATCGTTTAAATACTTTGATGTGATAACGAAATATAGAATAAAGGTTCTCGCGTTGAAAGAGACTATCACAGACAGACTAGGACGATTTCACGAACGATAGATTACTCGTGTGTACAATGAAAGATAGATAACGCGAATTGCAATAAACGCATACAACAATCGGCTTTTTCTTTCCTCGAAATACATAATCCTGGATACTATCCCCCTACCGCGTTCCCTCATAAACGACACGTTTTTGATTTATTAGTCGCCGGTTGTTCTGATTCTTCTCGTATCATCCTCTTCAACCAAATCATCCAGCAACCCCCCACGATCGTAGATTTTCTCTGGGTTTGTCCGACCCACCTTCTTATTATCGTGGCTCGTTTCTTCCACATGCGCGCACGATGGAATCAAAATCCGATATGAGACCACGATGCAAGGAAGAAAAAAGGGGGATGAATAATAAGAAGAAGAAGAAGAAGAACTATTAAATGTAATATTTCGACAAAAATAAAGAGGGAGGGGGGGTGTGGGATATTGAATATATCAAATGTAATTAATAAATAATAGGATAAATAGATATAGAATTAGATGGGGAACAAAAAGTTAGATAAAGATAATGTAATATGAAGATGATGATTAATTCGGCGTGTCTTCAAACGTACAGAATGAAATGAGAAGTAACTCGGCGGCGGGCGTCGACTTACCCTCTTTGCTTTTTGAGGCGGTCGAGCCCTTGTCTTGACAGTACATGATTACTCATTCGTTCGTACGTAGGAAACACACATCGCATATGGGCGGTGACGCACTCTGTGTGTGTGTGTCGTCGCTATATGTTCCTCCTCAGCGTGTATCGCGTTGTCTTCGTCTTTTTCGTGATCGTGGTCGTGGTCGTTGTCGCCGTCGTCCTCGTCCTCGTCCTCGTGTTACTTCCTTTGAACACGGGTGTCAGGTCACAGGTCACCAATCGTAAAGAAAGCGTAATACTTTTCTTCTTCACCTTTGTCGTGGGTCATACCACGGTGGCGAAGCACGACGTATCCTCGTACCACTGGCGATCGCCATGAAAAAGGTTCTTCCCCTAATTTTTGAACGTTCAGATAATAACAGTTTAACAATAATCAAAATAAATGTTAATTGTAATAGAAACAACAGAGGGTTTTTAACAACAGCAGTAATAAAGTATGATAGTAAGAACGGTGGTGGCGATGACGACGGCGACAACGAGACGCGTGTTTCCTTGCCTTATTTTATCGTTGAAATCCTACTTTCTCCCAGGGCTCACAGAAAATATTATAAAGTTGGAACTTGACCGGGATCGCCGAACTTCCAAGCGACCGACCGACCCTGTTCGTTTCGTTCTCTCTCTCTCTCTCTCTCTTTCTCTCTTTCTTTCTTTCTCTTGCTCTTTTTCTCTCTCTTTCTCTCTTTCTCTGCGTCTGTATTTCTTTTTTCTTCTTTTTTTTTCTTTATTTCCTCTGTCTCTGTCGCACGCGCGTCTTCCTGAATACGGTGAGTGCTCGCGCACGCCACCACTGACTATCTCGGACGATTCATTTGCGATAATTCAATTCGTTCTTAAAGACGATTGAACCGTCTTGCGAACGGTATTTTTACGCACAAATGAAATTTTGTAAAAATAAAAGAATTTAATGAAACACGGCTTACGCACGGTTGCACTCAGAGCGGTCGCTCTTATGCACTTTATCGCTCCTAAGCCGCCATCTTGAATACGATGGATGCACCGCCGATAACTTACTTGGCTACTGCCAAGAACCCACGACGCGCGTCAAATCCTTTTAGCGTGAATGTGTGAGTTTCTTTTTTTTTTTTTCCTTTTTTTTTTTTTTCTTTTTTCCATATTATCACTTTCGTAGTTTTTTTCAAGGTTTCAAATATTTTTTACAAATTATAATACGAGGATTCGTGTGTGAGTTCATTCATTTATATTATTTAATAATTATTATTGTATTTAGAATTTTTTGATCGATCCTGTGTATAAGGTTAGAATTTTATGTAATATATAAATCTTAGATTAAACATTGTAATTGAATTAACGAATATATGTCGTAATATTTTATGATTCTTTTCTATAATATGTTAAAACATTTTAGCGAATTCTTAACATTTGTTTTTTATGATATCAATAAATATTACGGAATATATAATACGTTTGTCATTCGTTTTAATTAAATATATTGTTGCATAAGTAATAATACGAATTTTAAGATGAACATTTTTATTATAAATTGATTGTTTATATATATATATATATTATTTATTATTAACAAAATGCATTTAAAATAATTTTATATTTATTATTATATGGACGCCGATACTATTGCCATCTATAGTGAAACCATAAAAAGTCAGGTCGGTGTTTTATTACAAACTTTCTATTTTAACCGTAGGATGGAGCCACAGATACATTTTTGAAAAAAAAAAATTGTAATTTTCGTGTAATATAACACGATTTATTAATTAAAAATAAAACCATATAAATATAAACAAAGAAACTATCCGATTGCAGTTATTTTGTCTATTGAGAAAATAGTGAAGAGAATTTATTATCATTGGAGTACTAATATTTAAACAAAAAAAACAAATTGCATATAATTTTTTCATTTCCAAAAATATCATATAATTAGATGAGACATTAAAGTTTATTAATAATATAATTAGTGAAGGTACAGTTTAGATTTGTCGAATATACAGATAATTTTTCAACCAAAGAAGAATATTGTGCAAGAAAGAAAATTGCAGTCAACTTTTTATTGAGTAACACATAAAAGAAAGATGCTCTGGTAGGTAATATCTGTCATTTTAAATGTTACACATATTCCCGCGTTAATTTTGCGCTATGAATTCACTCTTTTTTTATTGGTCCATTAGTTTTTTCGCAATGCCTAGTAGAACCATCTATCGGTGGTTTTGGAGTGAAATAAGATTGACGACCCTGAGATCTGGAGCACCCTTTTCGTTTCCGAATATATACGAGACTGCAAACAAGGCGTTTTCAGGTTACTGCGCATGCGGGAAAAATTCCATGAGTCGGCAGAAAGAGAAAGGTAGTGGTGGTTTCTTGTTGCAGCTGGAATTACTGAACAATTTTGTGTGGAATAGTAACAGTGTTAAACAGTGTCAAAATTATTCCACCACCATTGAAACAAGGGATCAAGAGATGACGGGCATCACAGAAAAACCATTTCGTCGACTTCCTAAAAATGTTCGGCCTTGTCACTATGACATTACTTTGGTACCGGACATAACAAATTTTGTTTTCAAGGGAACAGAAAATGTGCATATTGAAGTAAGTTATTGTAATGCAAATTGCATACGGTAACTACTACTTTCTATCTAGATGGACCGTTAAATATTTTTGAATGAAAGTTAATAGAGAATGTCTGGCAACCATATGGCTACATAACCGCAATCTGTATACAAAGCTTTAGATTAGCTTAGGTAAAACTATGTTAAATTAAATTGAAATAACTGGCAGCATTTTTTTTTATCATCATTTATAAATAGAGTCAATAATATAAATAAAAGAGAATTTAAGGAATCGTACACAATGTCTTGTGCATTAAAATGAATGTCTTGTATTAAGATTGCTTTGTTTTTTATTGTAATTTTTTATTGATAATTTATGAGTGAAAATTTTACAACTCATAGATTTTTATCAATAGAAATAATAAAGTTCTATTTAATTAGTTAAAATATATTTGAAACACGATTAATTTTCTTTTTTAATTTCTGTAGGTACTCACACCTACTGATACAATTGTTTTAAATTCATTGGAAATTAATATTAAAAGCGCGCATTATGTTAATAATGATGGATGTACTATTTCTGCAAAGAGTATTAATACATCCCCATCCGAAGAAACAGCTACTTTAGTATTTGATGATAAACTTCCAGTCGGTAAAGATGTGATTCTTACTTTGGAATTTGATGGAGAGATCAATGATAAGATGAAAGGTTTTTATCGCAGTAAATATAGAAGGTATATATATAAACATTATACTTATAGATAGATTCAATTCAAAAAGTATAATTATACGAACGTATTTTTTTCTTTCTTTTTTTTCTACCTTTATTATATGAATTTGTATATTTTTTAAGGGCTGACGGTTCGGTCGCTTATGCAGCGGTTACGCAGTTTGAACCAACAGATGCTAGGCGTTGTTTTCCATGTTGGGATGAACCTGCTCTTAAAGCTACATTCGATATTACTTTAAAAGTACCAATTGGTGTTATTGCACTTTCAAATATGGTAAATGAAATTCCGTAAGGGAATGTTTTTCTTTTCCTTTTCTTTTTTATTAAATTGTTTTCGACTTCATTCGTGTTTTTATTTTACAGACTATCAAGGAAAGAAATGTTTCCGAATCGATTGAAACATTATCGTTTGAAAGAACTCCGCTTATGTCTACTTATCTGGTCGCCGTGGTAATAGGAGAGTTTGATTGTATAGAAGACAAATCAAGCGATGGTGTACTTGTACGAGTTTATACCCCAAAAACTAAACAAGAGCAAGGCCAATTTGCATTAGAAGTAGCAACGAAGGTTTTACCATATTATAAAACATATTTCGGTATAGCGTATCCGCTTCCAAAAATCGATCTTATTGCAATTAAGGACTTTTCATCGGGTGCCATGGAAAATTGGGGTTTAGTTACGTATCGTGAAGCTTGTCTTTTGGTAGATCCGCAGAATACGTCTGCTGTTAGGAAACAATGGATCGCTTTGGTCGTAGCACACGAATTAGCTCATCAATGGTTTGGTAATCTCGTCACTATGGAATGGTGGACGCATCTATGGTTAAACGAAGGATACGCTTCTTTCGTAGAATTCCTTTGCGTTGCACATCTTTTCCCCGAATACGATATTTGGACGCAATTTGTAACAGATACGCATATCAGAGCATTGGAATTGGATGCATTGAAGAACAGCCATCCCATAGAAGTGTTAGTCGAGCATCCAGCCGAAATAGATGAAATTTTCGATGATATATCGTATTATAAAGGCGCGTGTGTTATCAGAATGCTGCACTCTTATATCGGTGATGATGATTTTAGAAAGGGAATGAATTTGTACTTAAATAGGCATAGTTATTCTAATGCAGAAACAGAAGATCTTTGGGCTGCCTTAGAAGAGGCTAGTAATAAAAGTGTTCGAAGTGTTATGTCTACGTGGACCAAACAACAAGGATTTCCTATTGTTAAAGTTGATTGTCGACAAGAAGGTAACAATAGAATTTTATCTCTCTCCCAAGAAAGATTTTTAGCAGACGGATCAGTAGATATGGACAATCGATTGTGGATTGTACCAATAAGCGTAAGCACTTCGAAAAATCCCAAAGAAACTGTTCTCACTGCATTATTGGATGAAAAAACGAAAGAATTTGTACTTAAGGACGTACCTGAAGGTACTTGGATTAAAATTAATCCTGGAACTATTGGATTTTACAGAACTCGTTATAGTCCAGAAGCGATGTCTTTATTTTTGCCTGCCATTAAAGATCGCTCGTTACCTCCATTAGACAGATTAGGTCTTTTGGATGATCTTTTTGCTATGGTTCAAGCTGGACATGCCTCGACCGTAGAATTACTTAGATTCATGCAAGCGTTCCAACACGAGGACAATTATACAGTATGGTCCAGTATAGTCAATTGTATAGGAAAGATTTCTGTACTTTTATCTCCTCTCGATATTGCGGATACATTTAAAGCATTTGTCCGAAATCTAATGCGCGACATTAGCAAACGATTGGGATGGTATCCAAAGCCTAACGAAATTCATTTAAATACGCTCCTGAGATCTCTCATATTAGATCGTATGGCGGCAGCAAACGACGAGGAAACTATACGAGAAGCAAAGAAAAGATTTGCACTTCACGTGTCCGGGGCCGTTCCCCTTTCTGCAGATTTGAGAAGTTCGGTTTATCGTGCTGTCCTCTCTGTTGGTGATTACATTACTTACGACACTATGCTTAATCTTTACGAAGAATCAGATCTCAATGAAGAAAAAGAAAGAATATTGAAAGCTCTTGGCGCAATTCGATATGAAAATTTGTTAAAAAAAACCATTGAATTTTCCATGAGCGAAAAAGTAAAAGCACAGGATACAGTATTTGGTTTTATGTCTGTTACCATGTCGCAATATAAAGGACGTGTAATTGCTTGGGAATTTTTCAAGGAACATTGGAAAACTCTTCTCGATCGTTACGAGGGTGGTTTCTTGCTCGCAAGACTGATCAAGGTAACAACTGAAAATTTTGTTTCCGAAGAATTTGCCAAAGATGTGGAAAATTTCTTTGAAAATCATCCGATACCTGGAACAGAGAGAACAGTACAGCAAAGCATAGAATCTATCAGATTGCATGCGGCGTGGCTTGCTAGAGACGAGGACTCTATAAAAGAGTTTTTGAATACTGTAGTAGTTTATGATTGAATTTATGATTGTGTGTCGTCGTCGTCGGTATTCTTGGCGTTTAGCAAAGAATCGATAAAATCGTGTACCTTTTTTAAGAGTTAAGAAATTATTTAAATCAATTAAAATAAAAACGTTTTTTTTTTTTTTTTAGCGACGTTTCACATTTAACAGGCATAAGATCACGAGATGATGGATGATCCCATTGTTTGTTTCGTACCATAGTTCGTCATTCGAAGGAAATAATCATTTTACATAAGTATCATCATCATCATCGCGTTCGTTCGTTTAATTTAGGGGAAAGTTTTAATTGATAAAATATAGCATTTGCACAAAAACCGCCGTCATATGTTCATTCATCGTGTGTATTGTTTAGAAAAAAAAAACAAAAAAAAAAAAAACATAGTCGTACTTACAAAGAAACACGGAACACGCCTGTTGGTAATTTTACAACATTTAAACATAAAACACATTTATGTTACACGCGTATTCGCAAGTTTATATTCAAAGAGAGAAATGTAAACGTTTACCGTTCCCCAAAACACAATTGCATTTTTGAGATGATAAGTATCGATCGGAAGATTCGATGGGAAAAAAAATTAAAATAATAAAAACTTTTACGCTTTTAAGTAAAAAAACAAAAAGGAAACAAAAAAAAAAGAAAGAAAGAAAGTAATCTGTGAAAAATGAACGAGAAAGAAACCTTATAAAAATTGAGAAAATTCTTTCCGATATATCCACAATTGATGAATGCATTGAAAAAAAAAGAAAGAAAAAATACAATCAAGGACGTTTATATACATTTAAGTTTTCCTCCTATCATTTTCCAACGTATCTCTATTCCCACCACCAACCCCTACTGCCACAAAGAATTGTGTAATCTCGGATCTAGTTGATGTTACGCTCGAATTACAAGATTTATCTAGCCAGAAGGAAGAAAAGCAAGCAAGCAAGCAAGCTGGCAATTCTGCTTTCCTTATCAGGGAGCATTAAGAGTGAGGGTGGTCGTAGGGCGCGTTTCGCACCCCCAGGTTCCTTCTTATCCGCAATCGATCGATCCTCCGACACATTTGAGGGTGGCTGTTGGCTTTCCTCTCTCTCTCTCTCTTTCTCTTTCTCTTTCCATCGTTGTGAGTCAGCTTCCATTTCCATTATTAGTGCACATCCACCAGCAGGAAAGCAAACAAGCAAGCAGACAGGCAGACGATGGGCGAGTAGTTGAGTCTCCCGTCGTCACCACCCTTGCTTACCATCATCCTATGGCTACACATACACGAGTTGGCGTCTCGCTCATGAATGCCAAGTGGGCTCGAATGGATCCAAGGGGTGTCGAGGAGGAGCCAAAAGCGGACAGGGGTAGTTGCTTGCTTGCTTGCTTGCTTGGTTGGTTGGTTGGTTGGGATCGGTTCCCGTGGGTATCGTACGAACCCATGGTTCCCAGGAACGCGCACGCGACCCGGACAGGATAGGGAGCCGATCAATACGGACTTTGCGAACTCCTACACCCTGTCCGGAATACAATACGACATTGCCGCTCCCCTTTCGTGCAACATCCTTCAAGGACTAGGACGAGGACATCGATGACAAGTAACCCAACCAATCGCGTCCTCTTCACCTTTCTCGCACGTGTGCATGGATTATTACCCACACGTGCGCCTATTTAATTCCATCCTCCTACCCTTCCTACAATCATCCCTCCCCCCACCCCCACCCCCCCATGGATTTACTGCTTTTAGCAGTAGACGCAGCAGGAAATGAGGAAACGTCGACGCTCCCAGGAATCATCATCCCATTCGGCTTTAGGGGTTGTTCTCCTTCTATGATACGGAAATAATGTTTTATGTGTTCTTTAAAGAATAATCTACGGTTTATAATGTTTTGTTTTTTTGTTTTTTCTTTCATTTCCCAGCATTGATCGAATCTAATCTAATTGAATTCTTATGAATGTTAGTTTGTTTGTTTTTTAATTAGCGATGATGATTACAAATCTATGCATTTTGTTGATTTAATTTTTTTTTTGTAAGCTTCGGTAATAATTATTTTGCTAATTAATAGAATCAAAAGGCAGAGAAACAGTTTGTTTTAATTTTATTGTTGTTGTTGTTGTTATTGAAAAGTTGAAGATTTACTCGATAATATATTAGAAATAAGATGGAAGGGTTGGTGGTATGTGTTGCAAGGGGAAAATGAATCAGGTATAATTTACGGACACAGTTTGCATTTATTTTTTTTGTTTTTTTTTTTGTTTTGTATACACGAGCGTAGTACCTTCGTGCGACGATATACTTACAGCCTTTCAGTCTTCGCAAATATACAATAGTTACGGAAGGTCTCTAAATTATAATATGAAGAGCGATAACAATAATAATAATAATAATAATAATAATATAATCATATAATAATAATAATATAGCATTTTTTTTTTTTTTTTAAGGTACAATAAATGTAATAATAGTAATAAAAATTGTCTTTATTATCTACAGTGCTAGAGTATGTCTGCTGTGTGTATGTGTGTGTACGTGTTAGAAATGATACAAGACTAAGATAAAAAAAAAAAGAAAATTTCTTTTTACGATGGTGGGGGGTGGTGGTAGTAGTAATAGTAGTAGTAGTACTTGCAAACGGAGATTAAATTTTACGATTCGGTTGGGTGGGGCAGTCCAACAGCAGCATAATAATTTGCGCACATCTTTTACGTAAAATATTATCGTTAGAATGATAATATATATTTTGGATATATTAAAAATGACATTTTATACGCATATACATATTTTTATATTTTCTTCGTAATTTTGCTTGGGAGAACTGCGATGATGGCGGCGGCGGGGGGGGGGAGTTGGGGAGGAGGTAGGGGAGAGCTTTGGGCGGTGGCCCCTTTTCAACCGATCGTAATTTTGAAATAGACAAAAAGAAATTTCGTATAAAGAAGCGAACGAAAAGTGTCCGTCGTGCGTTTAACATTATCATGGTGGTATATAAAGCAGCAACTAAACAAAAACAAAAAAAATCGAAAGGGGGGATAAAAAATAAAATCGTCGTTTGAAAGTTAAGATAAAAGGGAGAGAGGTAAATGGTGTGATTGGTGTCTATCGGTGATGAGAAAGAGAGAAAGAGAAAGAGAGAGAGAGAGAGAGAGAGAGAGGTCGTGCGAGGAATGCGATGAGAGAGAAAAAGATAGGTTGGTGTCTATGTACAAACAATTATTTACAGGCTTTCGCGAGGAAAGAGATTGTACTGGGCGCAAGGGTTTGTTCGTTGTTTCCCCTTTTATCGTTAAAGTATGTATCTCCATTAATTTTAGTGTCAAACCCCCGAAGAATAATAAAAGGAAGTAATTCTTCAAGGATGATGATGATGATGATGTTGATGTTGAGGAGGAAGGGGATGATGATGTTGATGATGATGATGATGATGAGAAACAACCCTGCGTTCATGCCGGAGTCAGCCCACGAGGACGATCTTTCCTAACGATGTGGCCCTCATTGAAGTTGTTTTTTAATGAAAACAGGTCACCGTCCAGCAACCGTATTATTTGTCGTCATCGTCATCGTCATCGTAGTTGCTGATGCCACTGCTGCTGCTGCTGCTGCTGCAGCCGCAGCTGCCGCCGTTGCTGCTGCTGCTGCCGCTGCTGCCGCTGGTGTTGAGGAACCTGTACTGCTAGCACTAACCGTGTTTAGCAATGGTTGAAGCGGTTGTCTCGTCAATGATTTCATTTTAGTCGTCTTTGGTATTTCCTGATTATGATGATTATGATGATGATGATGATGATTATTATGTTGTTCTTCGTTAGTTTCTTCTAATGTTGTTTGCAATGCGCATATATATTCTATCACCCTTTGTATTACTTCCAATTTGGAAAGTTTCCTTTTCCTCGGCATGTCCGGCACCAATGATCTTAGCTTTGTCAGATATGCTGCAACCTCTTCCGCTTCTAAATCTCTCCTAGTCCCGTTTAAATTCAAACCGTTGTGTAATACGCCACGATTAGGTGGTACACGACCACCAACTGGGCTTACCACCATGGCCTTCATTTTGTTTCTTTTTTTTTTTTTTTTCTTTTTTTGATACTCTCCTCTTGACCAATGACTTTTTACTTTTTACCTTTTTCTTTGTTTCTTCTTTTAAATCAAATTCCTTTGCAATTCGTCTACTAGATTATTATTATTATTATTATTATTGTTGGATAATAATATAATCGTTGTGTCGGCGCACTCCTCCACACGTTTCCCGGCGAATTATCGATCGAATTTACCCCTCAAGTCTTCGAGAGAATGAAAGAGAGAGAGGTGGTGAAAGAACGCGCAACTACCATCCGAAAAACGGGAATCAATCAGCAAGCAACTTTCTACCCCTTTTTCTTCTTTTTCTTTTTTTTTTTCTTCTTCTTCTTCTTTTCCTCTTCAAGATTTATTCCTCGTATCTTGTTTGAGATGTTGAGAATGGGTTGATTTTTTTGTTACTGACTATCAGGATGATCAATTATTTTTCCTCCTTGGCATACTATTATTATTATATACTTTTTTTCCTCTTGTTAATCGTTGGAAATCCTTAGAGAATGAACTCGCGATGATGGTGTTCGTCTGTCACATATAACCCATAAAGAAAGACTCACGAGAAAACTTGATTATATTTTCAAATTAAGCTTCACACGCGATATTAATCCATTTTCCATTGGGTTTGCAATTATTAATAGGGATTATTTCAACAACAACAACAACAAAAAAATGCAACATATATATATATATATATATATGTTGTATGTGCATATAACAGTAAAAACGTTTTAGTGATGCACAAGAGCTTGCATTCAGTGGATCGAAGTCAACTGGTCTCCGCCCCTCACCTGCGCTCTTTTATAGTCTACCCCCACCCTACCTTTTCTCTATCCACGACGCCTCCACCACTCGCACAGCGCAATCGCTGCTCGAGTGGTCTAGCAATGGGTTTGATTCCTCCATCTTATCAACCATCGCTTTTTTTTTTACTATTGACCTATTTTTTTTATATACCTTTTGTTCTTATTAACCCTTTCATCATTTTATTCTATAAAATGATAAATAAATCATTTTGACATATTATAATATTTATCGTACATTTGTAAAAGAAAATATTTAAAACGTTATAATATAATTCATGCAATATTCTTTTGTTCAATTATTTTTTTCTTATATATTATTCAAATACAAATATATTGTTTATTATTATATTTATTATATAAAATGTAAATTATATAATATAGATATGTCAGATTTGTTTGAATCAAAAGCGATTTGAACCCATCGCTAGTCGGGGGTGTTCGATGACCATGGGAGCATTGGCGTCGGTACGACAAGACGAGGGGGGTCCGAGGAGGGACACGACCATTGTTGAACGTCCGGCGGCGCCAGCCACTAGCCATCACGACTATACCACCACTATGACACCGTTACCACCACCCCATACCCATCACCATACCAATACCATCCTCCTTCTTGTCGTTCTCGTAGATGAGAACGGACAACACAACCACCATAGTCGTTTAAGTGTGTTTAACTTACTGTGTGTAGTTACTGTCCTCCTCCCCCTCCTCCCCCTCTCTGATCTCAGAGACCACCACCACCACCATCACTACCAACCTGTATAGTATGATTCCGGCTATGGTTTTACGTATACCTGACTCCTACCTACCTTTACCTAACTACCTACCTACCTTTTCTTACTTGGGTCGCGTGATTATGCTCGCGAATCCGTGACTTAGGCTACGGGAGTCTCGTTACCGCTCGCCAAGACAACAACTTGCCATGTGCATGCAATTTTTGTTTTTTTTTTTT